AATATTTGATTGATTGTTAATTTGCTGATGTCTTAGTGTGATATCTCATTCATTTTACAATACATATTTTCACGCCTTTATAATCAAAGCTGCTCTTACGTAGACCATTGGTACATGTACTACATTGAAAACGTCGTTCTAATTAAATTCCCTTTATGTTTTAAAAATGCTTTTCATATCCTAAGGAAAACAACCTCTTGCGCATTAAATCGGTATTTATGCCGTGTTTAGTCAAATTTGTTCTGATCAAGAGAATATTATACCTGTTGATATTCTCCTGGTTTCATTCATACCTATTCAGCGTTTGGATAACAATCGAAATGCTTGTATAAACTTAATCAAATAGACATGCCTAAGTTGCGAGCAAAAACGTTTTGAAAAGTTTTGTAAATATTTATTGCACAAGCAGGGCCAGTTATCATCGGCAAAAAAAAATGTTCCGATTCAGAAAGATAGTAACCGATGTTGGTGTACCCAAGGTAAAAGATGGGTAAAATATGACAGTTCGAAATCGAATTTTTTTTTATTAAAAAGGTTCATCAAATGAGCAGAGATTCTTCTCCTCAAAAAAATCTCCGTTTAGACACCTTTAATATTGTTGCCTTGGCCGTCCTAAGTAGCTTAAGGTTTTTTTCGGTGCCGGTGGTAACGCAGAGTAAAAATTCACAGTATTGCTACATTTCAAATTAATTCAAGGCGGGCAAACCTATTGTTTTACCGATTAAGCTGCTACTTTTTTTCACTTTTTATTAACCTTCATCTCTCTTTTGCAGGGAAAGCGTAATTTCAGTTTCTTACTCTCGTCTTCCTCAGTCATACGATCAAAATAAACAAGGCACACTTCCTTGTTCAAGGGTAAGTAACAAAAATAAACAAGAAATTAGCTTGCTTTCCTTTTCCTATTTTTTCTCTTAATGTCTTCGCCACCTCAAATCAGGCGCAACAGGAATCAAATTCAAGAACAGCAAATTCTGATGACAAAAGAAGGCATATTCTGTTTTCATAGGTGAGCTGTTGCTGTTGTTGTTTTTTTTTTAATTTCTATATTTTCATTGCTTCCCTAGTTTCATTTTCTATGAATTAAATCCACATTATTGTTTTACCAAACAAAACATTTTACTAAACATCTGGGCACAGTTGAATGGTTTCATAATTCGTTTAATTGTAGAATGTATTTTTTTCTGTTGGGTTTATGTCCATCAAATTTGTCCGCAATGTAACATAAGAAAATCTACGTGACACAGATTTCATTTGCGTGGATTCTGAATCAAACAACAATGAAAATCAGAGCAGAGTAAGACCTAGCCTGCAGTGCAGGCGTCTCATTAGTGCGAGCCCGTTATAAGCTCGCGATCGTTTATCCTACCGGCTATGTTTGATTTGGAGTTAGAGTTGATGGTGGGGGAAGGGCGAGAAGACGCCTGCCCGAAGAGGCTGTTAAGAGGTAAAACACCCTGCACGTCACTGCATTTCCTGAAATGAGCAGGTAACCAATCAAAATGAGTCAAATTAAAAACTGGAAGCACTGTCTTTCGACAAAAACAAACACACGTAGAGCCGATGAGTGAAACGGTGGGCAGTTTTTGTTGTTGTTGTTGTTTTCAGCCAGAAAAGAAATGACCTCGAGAAAACCTACTCTGCATTCACAAATATGAGCTGATATTTACTACACTCTATATTTTCCAAACTACAATCCTTGAGCAGAGCTGCTGTTCATCTATTTGACAATTTTTCTTCCATTTGGTCGTAAAAGATATTTTGAAGAAACAAACAACTGCACTCGAAGGTTTACCCGCCATATTTTGTTTGATGCAAACCGGAACGCTCTGGTGAAACGGACTGGCTGTTTTTTATCAACGAAATAAATGGCTTCACCAAAACATTCACTGCTGACACAAATACGAGTTAATATTTGTCGCACTCTATATCCTCCAAATGACAATCCGTGGGCGTATTCAGGTAGCTACCGTTGATCCGATGAAGATGCTTATTCCAATCAATCATAAACATTACGTTGAAGCGGACAAACTACAACTACGCTCAAGTTTCCCGTCATAATTTATTTCATAAGAACCAATATGAGGCTTTTCCAAACGCCAGCTGGCAACACGGCCCGTAAATTATTTCCAGAAATCAGTGTAGAAATTGCCTCTTTGTGTTCCGATTTTTAATGCGCGAGACATTTTAAATTCCGAAAGACACTTAAGTGCTTCCTCGAGAGCGAAATCGAAACTATAACTTCATAATTAGAGTTCACCATCATTCTCTTTCTCCCGTAAGAGGAAAATGTCAGAATGACGCTCAAATGACACCTTTGGCTTGTGATTGACAGCCGGAGCTTGACCGCACCATCTTATTTGAGAGTGGCAGGGTCTATGACCTTCAGTGTTATTTCAGTCGACCGCCTGGTCGTGGTAGTGCGTCAGCTCGTATCCAGAAAGACCAGAAAGTGTCCGAATCCATCGAATGAAAGATCTGAAAGAATATCAACCCAAACGACCCAAATAGCTGAAACGGTAAAATTCGTGAGAGTTTTGGTGTCATTTTATGCCGTCCGAGAAGATAGTAAAGCAAGCAATGAGCCAGTACACAAGGAAAAATTTTGTGTACCAGTTAGTGGTACACAAAATTTTTCCAAGGTCGTCATGAAGACCTAAACGAATTCAAAAGCCACGTTATATCCTTTACTGACATAAAGACAGTGCCGCACAAAAGGGGACTGGGTAAAGCTTTGACATAAATATTGCTCGTGTATCAAAGAATAGTAAAGGTGGCGTAGACGTCTACTCAATTCGTACGCAAGACTGTAGGAATTGAAAGTTGAATTGAAAATTGAAAGATAGCCAAATTAGCAAAGTTCATACTAGTTCACGCGAGATAACCTATGATCCATATGTAGGTACAAACTAGGAAAACAGTGTGATTACTACGACTACTAACTTATTTAACAACAAACTATGATGACTATTATTCCCAGACGAACACCTCAGATGTTGAATTAAAAAAATCAAAAATCTTCGTGAACAGAACTTCGAAGGTGAGGCAAACAACAAGCCGTTGGATGAAGACGATACTCAATGAAGCAACTTTAATTAGCTTAACTCTTGTGTTAAATATCCTGATTGTTTAATTTGTTTTTACTGTGTTCGATACTTGTAAAGTATGTGGGTGATGTGTGATTGGAACCGCCCCTTTGCCACCCTCTTACTTTTATCATAGCGATGACTTCGGGTAGGCGCAGGCGTAATCTTCACTCCCCACCCCACCCCTCTCCTTATTTTCGACCGTCGACCGCCCCCTTAGTACAAATTATTTCTTTCTTTCCTCAGCCTTCCGCTGCCATCACAATCAAAGATGGCGGCCATAATTTTCGTTAAGAAAATACCGAACCCTCACTCCCCAAAATTAGCCTGCTTTGCAGGCTAAGTAAGACCCTGGTTTTTGGACGGTAACAAATGATCCTGATCCTGTTTCACGCACGAATTTTAGAAAAATTCACGCGTAACGTTTTTAAAGGAAAAACTTCAAATCTCTCTGCTTGTGTACAAGGTTTCTGGGAAATATCGAGGTTTTTACGAAATGAAAGAAGAAAAACAGGGTTAATTATATTCAGGAGGCAAATCACGCCTAACACTAGATCATGAATTCACGAATCACGTTCGCCTTTCTGTAAAATTCACGCCTCATATCTTAATTTTGGCCTTAATCACGCTTCATGTGTAAAACCCTTTGGCGCCCTCCCTTTGAAAGTCAGTTTGACAGCTTTCGCACGATATTGCGATGAAGTACAGAAATATTAAATTCAAAGTTCATCACCAAAACAATTTAAACAAGAAAACCTACTTCTCCAAGTTGACCAAGTTAACAAACATAAACGTAGGTAAAACCACTGTATAATGCGAGAATATACTTACTTTTTCTAATCTTGATACTGATTTTTAATGATGAAAGAATACCTAAGAAAGGAAACATCTATTTTAATATTTCAGTTTTTGAAGGTTGAAATGCACTGTATTCACTGAAAATCTATGAATGCCAGGCTGAAAATTTGATTTAGAAAAGAACTTTGGGATTTCAGCGGCTCACTGAGCTGAAGTGAGTGACAAGCTGGTGCATGAGTGACAGGCGTGTGTACAAGATGAGTAGGGAAGAAAAACCTGCTTTATAAACACTTAAATTGCTCCGCCATTGGCTATTTGCAATGACGGACGGCTTGTGCTTGCATCATATCTCCTGATTGAGATGATAGGAATAATATTTTTCGAGAAAGGTCAAAATATTTCTTTAAAATTGAAACGTACGAATAACATAGATGCCATTATTTTAAGTAAAAGTCCGAGAAAACTTACTGCCTTAACTAAAGGTGTTATTAAAAAAAATTCTCTCCTGTTTCAGCAGCGAGGCAGCTAAGTGAGTTGTAGAGGCGTGAATGTGGCGAACACACGCGCGAGACGCTCGCGACGCGTGGAAGGCGCTAACGTTAATCGTCTCATCCTAACAATCCTATCATTGCATGATCAATAGAAATTCAAAATGTTGCCTATCGTTTATTCAATAAATAAGAATTAAATATACATGCTTTGAGTTGAAGTCAAATGTTTGCCTAGTTTACCGCTTATTGCAACACTCTCAGGGGAAGTCATTTTCAAGCAATAAGTTGTGAGCAGATTCAGATATGACTAATTGGGTAGCATGCAATAAGTTGAAGACAACAATGATAACACAATTGGTAAATTAAGCGCTGCTCTATTGGTGAGACATTTTTGATAGCTATATTCAATTTTGCTGAACGACTATTTGAATTCAGCCCGGCTGATGCAATTTGGATTGGTTTGGATAAAAGATTGAAAAGGAATGTTGCGCTCAGACATTTTTTAAAGAAACAAACGACAACCTCCCTAGAAACAGCTTAAGTACTTCAAGATTTATCAGTTTTACTTTTTCTAAGTTTCCTATTTCTGTTGATTCTTTCCCGTGACAACAAACAGGAGAAAGCCATGATGAATCACGAAGCAGAAATCCTAAAGTCAGTCCAGATAGGTTTAGATGTCTGCATATTTCTTCTCAACACTGATCGTGGCCTAAAAGCGACTGAGTTATGCAATGAATGTACAACTCTACTTCAAAACCTTGGCACTGGTATTCAGCTTGATATCTCCCATGTAATATTCAATGCTTACTTCGCCATCTCTGGTTACGCAAATGCAGAAAGATACACTAATAAACTTCTTGAAACGCTCCTCAACGTCGGAATACTAACAACACAACTGGGAGACAAATATGAAGCACAAAACCGGTTTGTAGAGGCAAAGCAACTTTTTAAAAGCGCACTCGCCATCTGGAAAACGGCTGGTGGAAAAAAGGGAGAAGCTGAGGTTCATGAAAGACTTGGAAATGTAGGTTACTACCTATCTGAAATGCAGAAGGCAAAAAAACACTACCAGATAGCACTTGCCATCGCAACAGAAATTGGCGACAGACAAGGTCAAGGAAGAAGTAACGGGAGCCTCGGAGCTGTGCTTGATTCCCTTGGCGAATATCACAAGGCTAAAGAATATCACGAGAAAGCACTTGCCATCGCGATAGAAATTGGTGACAGACAAGGTGAAGGAAGAAGCAACGGGGGCCTTGGATCTGTTTTTCAATCTCTTGGCGAATATCAAAAGGCTAAAGAATATCACGAGAAAGCACTTACCAACGCGATAGAAATTGGCGACAAACGAGGAGAAGGAACAAGGAATGGGAATCTCGGAGCTGTGTTTTATTCCCTTGGCGACTATCAGAAAGCTAAAGAAAATTACGAGAAAGCACTTACCATCGCAATAGAAATTGGCGACAGACGAGGAGAAGGAACAAGTAACTTGCATCTCGGAAATGTGTTTATTTCCCTTGGCAAATATCAGAAGGCTAAAGAATATCACGAGAAAGCAGTTGCCATCGCTATAGAAGTTGGCGACAAACGAGGAGAAGGAAGTAGTAACGGGAGCCTCGGAAATGTGTTTGATTGGCTTGGCGAATATCAGAAGGCTAAAGAATATCACGAGAAGGCACTTGCCATCGCGATAGAAATTGGTGACAGACAAGGTGAAGGAAGAAGCAACGGGGACCTTGGAACTGTTTTTCAATCTCTTGGCGAATATCAAAAGGCTAAAGAATATCACGAGAAAGCACTTACCATCGCGATAGAAATTGGCGACAAACGAGGAGAAGGAACAAGGAATGGGAATCTCGGAGCTGTGTTTTATTCCCTAAGCGACTATCAGAAGGCTAAAGAATATTACGAGAAAGCACTTGCCATCGCGATAGAAATTGGCGACAGAAAAGGCGAAGGAACAATTCACGGGAACCTTGGAGCTGTGTTTGATTCCCTTAGCGAATATCATCTGGCTAAAGAATATCACGAGAAAGCACTTGCCATCGCGATAGAAATTGGTGACAAACCAGGAGAAGCAGCAAGATACGGGAACCTCGGAGCTGTGTTTGATTCCCGGGGCGAATATCAGAAGGCTATAGAATATTACGAGAAAGCACTTGCCATTGCAACAGAAATTGGCGACACACGAGGAGAAGGAACAGTTAACGGGAGCCTTGGAGCTGTGTTTGGTTCCATTAACGAATATCAGAAGGCTAAAGAATATCTTGAGAAAGCTCTTGCCATCTCGATAGAAATTGGGGACAAACGAGAAGAAGGAAACATTAACGGGAACCTCGGAGCTGTGTATCAATCCCTCGGAGAATATAAGAAGGCAAAAGAATATCACAAGAAAGCACTTGCCATCGCGATAGAAATTGGTAACAGAATAGGAGAAGGCTCGATATACTCGAAACTTGGAGGTGTATATTTTGAGCTTCGAAAAAATCGGCAAGCTAAAGAATATTTGGACAAAGCAGTTGACGTCAGTTTAGCAATTGGTGACAGAAAACTAGAAGCCTACGCTACTGCAGGTTTGGCAGCTGTCTTTGCTTCTGTTAATGACTATCAGAAGACAAAAGAACATTGTGAGAAGGCGCTTACCATCAGCAGAGAATGTGGCAATAGAAAGTTGGAAGCAGAAATTTACCTAAACCTTGGAAATCTATACCTTTCGCTTGGTGAAAGTGGCAAGGCAGAAGACTACTTAGAGAAAGCTTGTTCCATAAGCAGCCAGTTTGGATATAAGATGACTCAGTTTCAAAGCCTTCTTGGTATTACACAGTTAAAGATATCACAGTCGGAGGTTGTGGAGGCAAACCAATGTCTTCTTCAATGTATCGGCAAATATGAACAAATCAGGACTTTTCTGAAAGGAAACAGTGAATTTAAAATGTCTCTGTTAGAAGAACATGGTACTTTTCCCTACCAGTTACTCACTAACTTGCTATGCCGTATTGGAAAATTTCGAGATGCTCTTTATGCTGAGGAGCTGGTACGGGCAAGAGTCCTCGCTGAATTCATGGCAGATAAGTACTCCCTGGAAAGCCACTTCACAGCTGATCCACAATCATGGTTCGGGATTGAAAACATCATGAAGAGAGAAAGAAACTGTGTTTGTTTGTTCCTTTCATATAGAGAACGGCAAGTTCTTCTCTGGGTATTGAAAGCAAATGGAGACATTTTCTTCCGAGCAACAGATGAAGCGGAAGTTGACACCCTAATTGCTGAGAAAGTTTGCGACGTGGAAGGAGTTTTCAAAAAGAGCGCCGCCGGCTTTGGAGTTTTACCCGCAGCAAATTGCGAAGATCGATCATTGAATGACGACGTGACGACATCTCTTCATGAAGAGAGCCGGGCAAATTTGCGAGGTGACGAAACTAAAGATACCGAAAGAACTCATCAATTGTGCTACAAATGGATCGTCGCACCTGTGGCAGATTTACTTACTGAGCCTGAAATCATCATTGTGCCCGATCGATTCTTGTATCGAGTCCCATTTGCTGCCTTGTGTGATGAACCAGTCGGAAAGTATTTATCGGAGAAGTACAGAATACGCATCGTCCCTTCTCTAACGACTCTGCGGCTCATCCAAGAATGTCCTGCGGACTATCACAGTCTTACTGGCGCACTGGTTGTTGGTGATCCTACGGTTGGCAAAGTGCATTACAATGGACGTCTTACTGACATTACACCATTGTTTCATGCAAATAAGGAAGCAGAGATGGTTGGTCGGCTGCTTGGCGTTCAGCCTTTGTCAGGAAGTCGCGCGACAAAGCAGGCGGTACTTCAAGCGATACCTTCAGTGAGTCTGATACATCTCGCTGCTCATGGAAATGCCGAAAGAGGAGAGATTGCTCTCTCTCCTCAATCTACCACTAACGGTATTCCCCAAGAGGAAGACTACCTCCTGACAATGTCCGACATTCAGGTAGTTCAGGTGCGAGCCAAACTGGTAGTACTCAGCTGTTGTCACAGTGGGCGTGGATTGGTAAAAAAGGAAGGAATTATT